GAGGAAATACGAAACCGTACAGGAATTAGAGATACTCTTTCAGATAGAATACAAGAAAGGCAATTACAATGGTATGGTCACGTGATGAGAATGGAGGAGGAGCGGTGGCCAAAGAAAGCCTTAATGTATGTTCCGCCAGAAAGAAGGAAAAGGGGAAGACCACCAAATTCCTGGAGAAGAGAAATTACAAAAACAATGCAATCTAGAGGCTTAGAAGAGGGAGATTGGGGAGATAGGAAAAGATGGAGGCTGAAATGCGAGAAGCGGCAATCGCCGTAGGACCCCCGTTATATGATGATGATGATTGTTTAGTTTATTTTTCAAGTTATAATAAATATATCATTAGGTAGTTTCTTTCACTTCAAAAGATATACACATAAACGATAATAGCCGTTATGTTTATTTATGTAGGTACTATCTTACTTGAAACTACTTTTAAACAATCATAGTTACTTGTTTATGAAAATTAAAATTTTTAAATGCTTTTTAGCATTCAAAAAAATTTAAATTTTTTTGGAATCCTGAGAAAACTAACAAATATTTTTGAAAAATTTAAATGCAGAATGAAAGATTACATTATTACCGAGGGCCGAAGGTCCCTTAGAATAAACAAAAAGTTTTTTTAATGAGATATTTGAAATTAAAAATCACACTAAATTTTGTTTTTTTTTTCATCCCTATAACTTATTAAAATAAACATTATAGAAGTTTTCAGGGACTTTCAGCTCTCGGTAATAATGTATTGTTTCATTCTGCGTTTAATTTTTTCAAAAATATTTATTAGTTTTCTCAGGATTCGAAAAAAATGAATGCATTTAAAAAACTTTGTCCCGAAATTTTGCTCCTACGCTGTTAACGATAAACTAGCACGACCCACCTCTACTTCTCGTTACTCAATCTTTTGACCAGACGACAATCTAGACTAGACGTTGCCAAATAAATTAGTGTATGAATATTTTTTAATTTGGCGTTATTGTATGCATGTTTAATTGTTTATTATTTCATATTGGGAAATTATTTTGATATTTAGATTTTTAGTTCGGAAATCGTACTTAAAATACGAAACATTAATAAATTTTATTTATATAAAACGATTTCCGAAATGGAAATCAAAATGTTATATTTACAATTATTGTAAAGAAAACTTGTGGCATATTCCCAATAAAAAAAACAGTAACCTGCCATTTAAATCAATTTCGCCCAAATTTGATTGTCTTGAGCATTTTATCTTCTTGATAGAACATTGTTCAAATGCAAAAAAAGACAACAGGTCAAATAAAACCAATAAGTTTGGCAACGTTGAATTTCCCCTTTTTTAATATTTCCGTTCGGCGATATAAAGGGCGTACCTAATATACCTCTCTCTTTTTAAACAGCTGTTTCTCACTCCATCTCACGTAAGGTCCATACCGACCATAAAATTTTTCCTACACTGTATATATATATATATATATATATATATATATATACAAACAACAAAGTTTATTAGAGTTACAGTCAGAAAATTGGCCAGGATGTTAAAAAAACACTCTTTTGGCTTTTTGTCTAGATTTCGGAGTGATTTTATTCCTTTTTCAAGACACTGTATTAACCCATTTTCTACCAGAATAGCAATAAATATATTTTTTTATAGATATAACTGCAAATGACAATGGAATAAAACTAAATAATAAACGTAAAAATATGTTTTTAATAATTTGTTTTATAAACTTAAGAAAAAAACGCTGTGACCATATGATCGCACAGGGAGGTTTCCTATATATACATTATGTATTTACTACTGTGTATGAAAAATTTCAAAACACTCAATGCAAAGTCCTAAATTACACTTTTTACACTGTGTACATATCACAGAAAAACATCCTTCTCCTGCACATCTACATCTTTTGCCGTTAGGAACTAGAACAACAAGATGGTCAATTTTGTCATATCGTAGATTGTCGGATACTCTATTCATGGACAGACTATTCCTGCTGACTAAAGGCTTACCAGGACGTCTAGGTGATGCTCCATATTTCCGCAAATACATATGTGCAATTTCTCGGCGTTTTATTTATTATTGTTATATTAGGTGTTTTTTTTCTTGCCTTTGAGGACTTCTTATAAAGCACCCAGGCGTTATGTACGCATACGTCAACAAGCCAAGTAAAAAGAGGCCAATACCAGTTTTTACTTCTGATGCCAATTCTGTATCGTGCCACATCTTCATCCATTCTATCCGTGCCACCCATGAATGTATTATATGTTGCTATAATCAAAGGCCTTTGTACTCGAATAATTTTCTTCTCTTGCTTAGAGTATCTTTTGACGTAACTTTGAGGATTGATGCCGTAGCAAGTTGATGCAGCAGCCGTAACTACAGCATTATCCATCCATTTGACCAAGATAATTCCGTCATTTTTAGATATAACATAATCAACAGAACCTTTAGTTTCAGTAGCCATTACTTTGTTGTCCAGCAAAGGGCAATACTTAGGAACTCTATTTTGTCTTATTGTTCCAATACAGTCATATCCCCTAAATTTTAATTCTGCAAGTAAATTGAAACTCGTAAATAGATTATTAGTATAAATATGGTAATTTGGCATCTTGGTTGAAATCTGCTTAACTTGATATAACTGAAAATGAATCAAATAACTGTCTTCAGAATTCAAACACCAAGCTTTATAGCCAAAGCGTATTGGCTTACCTTTGATAAACTGTTTACAGCTATGTTTTCCAAAATACTTGATCATTGATTCATCATAATTCATATGCTGGGTTGGTTTAAAGTACTTAAGACATTTCATTTGCACCTTTTGTATAATGGGGCGTAGCTTCCACATTTTATCAGTCCTTCCAATTCTGCTGTTATTGGCAAAATGTATACATTTCATGATTTGATCAAATCTATTCCTGCGCATAGAATTTTTCACCAAGTGTACTGCCATGCCATCCTGTTGATCCCAATAATATGTTCTGCCCGGTAAGGGATGGTAGCCGGATAAAATTAAAACTCCGAAAAAACATTTTAATTCATCAATGGAGAGATTTAGATCTGGAAAATTCTTGAACGCAGCATATTTTTTTTGTTTTTTGTAAAATATGCTCAAACCTATCGTTGTCAATAGTTCGAATAGTTCTAATGGACTCATGTTATAAAATTCATAACTTTCAGATTTATTCCCGTTTTTAAATTTTTTATTATATATCAAATCTCCATCTATCCATTGTTTGATCTGAGTTTTTTTAGAAATTCTACATTTTTTTATTTTTTCCCTTATTTATTTGACTCACCTGTTCATCAGGTTCTGTTGTCTTTATTTCATCCACAGAGTCTTCCTCTCCTTGTTCCACATTTTCGATACAATTTATTCGAACTTCAGCTGGCGCTAATAACTGTCTATGAGACAAATTGTCAACTAAACCTTCATCGTCTTCGTCGCCGGAATTTTCATCCTTATCCTCATGAACATCTGGAGGAGAAATAAACACCAATGTTTCATCATTTTCTATATCTTCGTCATCATATAAAATGGTCAATGTTTCTTGTAATGTAAAACCACGTCTAAAAAGAAAAAACAAAAAACTTAATAATTATCACATATTATCCCTGTGTGACGTTATGGTCACAAACAAATATTAAAAGCTCTACCGCATTTGATACAATACTTTTGTGATAAATTATATAAACACATGTCTCTAGATCCTATTTGTTCAAAAATATTTTTGGTTTCTTTAAAGATTAAAATGATAATGAAAATGATAATAATGATAAGATTAAAAAATATTACTTACTCAAATCAAACGTCCATTTTGATGTTTTTTCGTTGTAACACCAACAAACAATAACTATAACACGACTTTACCAGCGAATAGATCAGGTACCGGCTATGTCATTCGTTACATAGATATCTCCAGTCCGCGTGGTCGTATTACTAGTTGCATATATCGCTGTATGTGTTAAATGTTGTATATTTAAAAAGGGCCATTTAGTGTGACCATACGGTTACGCTAGCAGAAAACGAGTTAAGAAAAAACATCACAATTCTTCAGTGTCACTTACTAGTCGTTGAGATTATTTGTAAAAGCATTGACACTCAACATTGATAACACACATATAAAATATAAAATAATAGACAAAATACATTCTAAAATTTTTAAAATTTGGGTAAAGATAGTAAAACTTAGTTTATGGCATCTTTTACTGGTGTGTTTTAACTCTGATACATAGAGAACAGAAAGTAAAAACCCTGTGATTATAATGTAATTAGGTGTACTTGATATTATTTTTCAATAAATACTAGGGGCTCATCTTGGGTGATTTTACTTTTTAATTTTTAAACCTGTCCTAATGGTATGCAACATATTATGCATACATGTGTAATTTGTGTACACGTAAATATTTATTTTATTTTTATGTTTTCCAGTAAATAACGATAAACGTTGCTCAGTTTATCTATGTCAGACTTTTTATTGATGCAAGATGTACTAGATTTTATGAAACACATTTCCAAAAAAACACGTTTTGCAGATTTCTTTTCTTTTGCCAAAATACAGAAATCCTCGAAATTAAATTCATGTTTCAACGTTAATGCATGTTCTACCAATGCACATGCATTTACTTTTTTGGTTTTAATTCACTACGACGTGAGATCGCCTTACTATGAAAATTACGAGATGATTCTCCTATGTATATTTTGTTACACATTCCCAAAGCTAGACAAAAAGTCAAAAGAGTGTTTTTTTAACAGTTTCTGACTGTTATCCTAATAAACTGTATTGTTTCTTTATATCGACAGTCACTAATACCCAGTATTTGTTATATATATATATATATATATATATATATATATATATATATATATATATTTTAGAAGAACTAAACTCAAACTAAAGAACCAAGGAACCAAGAACTAAACTCAAACTCTATATATATATATATATATATATATATATATATATATATATATATATATATTATATATATATATATATATATATATATATATATATATATATTATGAGGTTCCGGGTAGAAACGATATTAAACTTGGATACTTGCCTTTTTTAATATTCCTTCTAAGAACGTTAACAAATTTATCTCTGTCAGTTCTGCTTTGTTCATGCCAAAAACCAGCTGCATGCATTAACTCGTGTATCGTGGTTCCCAATTTTTTAAAACATCGATTTCCAAGATTTACGGTTTGTATTCTGTTCAATTGCCTTCCTATGAAGGAAAAACAGTACGATTTAAACTCATCAGTAATATTGATATAATATTGATCGTTAGGATTTCTCGGTATGAACCTAAAAAATACTTATACATATTTTATAACATAGAATAAAGCAAAATTTATAAACTGCATTAAATAAATAATTTATTGTGTACGAGACACTAAATTTTTTTATTTAAATTTATTTTCAAAGTATGTCAAATGCCTAAACTTTTGCCAAAAATACAAATTCAGGTACTATTAACCCATTTATGCCCACAACTATTTTTGTCAAAATATCTCGATGATTTTTTCAAAAATATAATAAAATACCCTTAAATACATTAAAAAATTACTAAAAAAATTTTTTAAAAACTGGTTTTCGAAAAACATGCTGGGTCGTTAACGACCCGTTGGGCATATAAGGGTACAAAATAATACTAATAGTAACTTTTATGCAATTACATTTTATTTTATTTTCTTTCAACAAATTAAATATTTACTCCCTAAAATGAAAACAATGTTTTGTTTGAACATATGCGACATCTTCTTCTTTGAGCACCAGTAATAATTAGATGCTGTGTTGATGAGGATGGTGTAGGAATTATTGCAATATTTTGTGGTCCAGTGGAATGGGGTGACTTTCCATAATTAGATAATAATATACGCACTATATGTCTTCTAAATTCTAAGTTGTCACTTTTGTATTCAAATTGTCGTGCTAGTGTCCTAGCATTAGTAACACAAACATCTAGCATCCATAGTCATATCGGAAACTACCATTTTTTCCACGTATTTTTATTCCCTAGTTTGAAATGTTGTTGTCCATCAAGTCAACTCCACCCATATATTTATTATATTGCGAAATTACAAATGGTTAATCTATTTGAATTTTTAGTTTTTCTTTTGCTGAATATCGGCTTGCTTTTTGTATTGGCTCAGTTCCATGCTCATTGGATAATATAATGACAACATTATTATCTTTCCATTTTACAGCCGCAATTTTAGCGCTAACTTCAAAAGAGCTACAATAATACCCTCTTTACTTTTTTATCATAATTTTTTTATCTTCTAAAGGACACTTTTCTGTTCTGTTTTAGCGTACAGTTCCAGTGCCACTAAATCACATTTCTCCAAGTGATGATAGCAAAGACATGCTTGTAAAAAAGTTATCGAAATATAAGGAAAATTTTATATTTTTATATGTATTTCGCAAAATCTCTGCAAAGTTCAAGAGAACACTAGTAGCTAAACTTCGGCCTTATAATATGTCAAAATTTAGGCAATATCCATTTGATAGAGCCATTACCCATGCTTTATAGCCAAATCTTATTAGTTTGCCGCGAATAAATTGTTTGTACCCATTACGACCAAAGTAACGAATCTCAGATTCGTCGATAGAAATTTGATTTTCAATGGGTGCAAACGTTAAAAACTTTTTATTTAATTTTTCGATGAAAGGTCTAATCTTGGCCAATTTATCATTTTTTGCCAAGTGGTTGTTGTCAGCAGCGTGAAAAAATCTAAATATCTCTTCAAACCTATTGAGTCTCATAGATTTCGTTACTAAAATATTATGTGTATCATCAGAGTTTTCTCAATACATTCTTCGCCTTGGTAATGGAACTTAACCACTTAAAATTAAAATTCCCAAGAATACATAAAATTCTTCAACTTCTATTGAAATATTATGATTTTTCGAGGCAGCATAATTTGTTGTTTCTTTAACTAAATACTCTATTATTTCTCTGCTCATAAACAATTCAAAAAATTCAACTGGATTACTGTCAGAAGTGAGTGTTAAAACTGGTAATCTCGGTAGATCGGAATCCGCACGTAATGTTGGTAAATTTATAATGTTCGACCATTTTCGTGGCGTCTTCTTTATTTTCTTTGTTGGATGTTGTACATTAAAATCAGATACTTCTTGATGAACTTCGTTTTCTATGTCTTCTTCATCCCTCTGAAATTGTATTTCAGCGCCAGCATTGAATTGACCTATATTATTAGTCTATCCGGATCATTACATTCCTCGTCTCCAGAATCCGAATCTGTTAACCAACCATTATTATCTGGAGTCAAAATATATATGTCATCCTGTATAACCTCATTATTTTCAATTCTTTCTATTTCCTCCAGAATTTCTGCAGTAGATAGTGGTTTCTTACTAAAAAAACATTTTCCCAGTATGATATGTCATGTGCCCAACGGGTCGTTAACGACCCATCAAAATGTAACATTATATTTATGGCATATATCAAATTATTTTCATACTAGTATTATTATAATACTAATAGGAAGGAAACATAAGGTTATGGAGATGTTTGTCAAAAATTTGTCTATAAACGATAAGATCGTCTAAGTAAATGGCACAAATGTTACAAAAAAATTTCCTCAACACCGTCTTCATCAATCATTCAAAGATGGCTAACAAAGGGTATGATAACAAATTGTCATAGACTTTGGCCAGTCAAAATTGCTGTCTTGGCTTTGTCTGGTGGACCTATTTTCACTTGTCAATGTCCATTTTTCAAATCTAATATTGCAAACCATTTCGCTCCAGTCATAGCATCCAAGGTGTTGTCAATACGTGTCAATGGATAACTATTCGGAACCATAGCATCATTTAATATCTTGTAATCCACACAGAATGGAGTAGAGCCATCCTTCTTTTTCACCTAGACGACAGAGTAACTCCATGGACTTTCATTCAACTTCTTCTTGTTTTGCAAACGGGACTCTTCTAAAAATCTTGTGTTGCGAGCACAGTATTTCCGGTGTTAATTTAATATTGCTTTACCTTTATTCGCATGTAATTATTGAATTTCAAGGAGAAAAAATCTTCAGAAGTTTATAAAGTTTATTTTTCTGATTTTTGTTGAGATATTCATTAGACTTCTGGTAAAGGAGTTAAAACGGTGCTGTTTATTTTAAAGAAATTAGGGATTTTTATGGTTGTACAATAGAATGTCTGATACCAGTGACACCCTCGAGAGTACCGATTGAAATTACTTTATTTAATCGAACATGGTAATCGTTAAGATTCGTTATTCGTTGCCAGTATTGCGCCAGTATTAATGGTTATTTGACAAATGTTTCCATTAAGTTTACTAGAAATCATAAGATTTTTCCCGTTGTGCTGAAGTTGTGAAAATCTAACTACCGGGACATTGTAGGTGTCAACCAGCTGTCGCCCCTTACAGCTAATTACTGCTCATTTTTCTGTTAATTTTTCTGAGGCAATGTATACTGACATTGAATTATACGATGACCTAGTTCTCCACACTGAGAAAACCTACAAGTTTTCTTAAAAGTTCACCAATTCTTTTATTATCGTTGGTGGCCTGAACCTGGCGAATTTTTAGGTGGCTACTCTAATGCATGAGCCACAACGTATCTTAGTGTTTGATTTCTATATCGGCTTTAACTTCTTGTAAAGATTCACCGAATTCCTGTTGTCCGGATCTTAACTGAGTTTGGTACACTTGCTACAGATGTTTGTTACCATATAGCTTTTCCAATTAAGACACCAATCTAGAAAGGTTTTTTTGGCTGTTCCTCAAAGGTGGTCTGCAAAACATTCAAGGCTTCTTCTCGGAGGGATAATACAAGTGCAGTAGTCTTTTCTGCACTAGATCACGGCTTGGCTAGAGCAGCTGCAAAAAACTGTTTCAAATAAACTGACCAACTAGTAGTGTCATCGAATGTTAATGGTTGAATGTGAAATACCATGTCTTTCACATTTTCTTGCAATGCAGTCTGGTTTTCGGTCATCTTACTTGTTAAATTGTCTTGCAATGTAGTCATCAGATCCTGCAGCATAGCTAGAAATGAAGGATCTTGGTAGGAGAACATCTTAAATTCTGATTCTGGAACATCTCCAGAATCAGTCGGCAAGTCGCAATGACCTCTAATACTTGGCATTTTAAATTATTGCTCTGAGCTCGGCCACTAAGACGTCCTACTTCTGACACCAATTTGTACAGTGATTTTCTTAAAAAACGTGGATCACGAACTTTATTAAAAAATGTATAAAATACAAAATGACATTAAAAAATTAATTAATTTGACAAACCACCACGACCCTCAACTGTCCTTGCCTAAGACAAGGAAAGTGAGGAAACGCGTAATCGTATGGAATTGATTAAAGTCTAAACTGGCACCAACCGGCACCAGAAAAATTGCCAGATCACTTTTTGAATAGGATTTTATCATTACATATTTTTTAGTCAATCGATATAGTGTTTTAGTAAATCAGTAAATTAAAGTTGAAATTAGATTTACTGAAAAATCAGTAGACCTGGTAACCCTGCGGAGAAGTAGTAATGTGCAATGTAATGGCACCAAAACATGCGGTCACATCGTTCACTTTTTGAAGATTTATTAAATGAACGTTACCTATCATCTCTCTTTCCTTGTCTAAGGTCCTTGCATACATTCTATAAAAATGTCATCTCATGACACTTGACTTAATGATAATTCCAAATGCCAACAGCTATCACTCTATTATCAGTTGTAACAGCTTGTTAATTACTCTATCTGAAATCTTGTTAATTTGTAGAAACTTTTTTTTTTCGTGGGGTTTAGTTGGAGCCTACATATTATTTGTAAAATATTTTTCAACTATGTCTAAATCCATCGTAAGGATTTTTTGAATTTCTTCAAATGATTTACTCTTTATTGCAAAGTCCCAGTCATCGGTGTAGCTAAACTTTCTTAATGTAGTTTCCATTTTGTTCGTGTCCATTCTTATACAGTCCATTCTTCAGATTTGTAGGTGTAATGTCGGTTACTATCACCACTTGGATCCTTCACTCGCTTAACATACCCTCCAAACTGTATCGTAGGCCGATGTTAGGTCTATAAACGTGGCTGGAGTTTAACGTTTGCTCTAAAATATTTACTTAATTAAGGTGGTAAGTGAAACAACTTGATTTGATATGTGTAACTTTTCTTTGGTCGGAAGTCTAGCTGTTTAGCTGAAGGGAGCTTTGTGCTGATTATATTGAGGACTAGTCGTCATATTACCTTAAATTTTGCAGATAATAGAGCTATTGCCTTGTAGTTTGTGGAGTTATTATCATTTGACTTATC